GGGGGAAAGTTGTGGGTCCCGCTGCACACTGCTGTCTGGGCCAGCACACGGGGATCCAGCACTGCCAGGATCAGTGTCCAGGATAGGAGGATAGGGAATGTCCTGGTCTCACCCAGCCAGTTCTGATGACTCCCACAGGGTCCCAGTGTTGTAAGTCTGCTTGTGCCATTGACATTTCTGAGGCTGTCCTTCTGCACTTTAATGAGGAGAAGAATCTGTGTTTGCAGAGTTTTATATGAGCAGATTGCAAGAGGCAGGAGAAATTTACCATGACCAATCCCTCTATTTGTGTTTTGAGGAACATTAGGATTCTGTATTCACCTTGGGTATTTCTCTGTTGTTTGTGTTTGTTGCCAGGGAACATCTTTTAAGTCACCATACACGTTTACAAGTTCCCCCGATGCAACTCCCTTAAACTTTGGAATGAACTAAGACATTTTAAAGGAAGGATTATGGTATGAGAGGGGGAACTGGCTCTTCAAAGAACCAAGATGAGTGTGGGAAATGAACCATCAGCAGTACAGCCTTAATCACAATACATCTGACTACAATGAACTCAAAGAGCACAGATTGGCACATAAAGCATTCTCGATGACATCAGAGCTCAGAATTCAGTAAACGGCTCAGTAAGTACCTAACAGCAGATATGCTAAGGCAGTGGGGACTCTTGAGAGTGTGTGTAGGGTGAGGGTCCTGACAGGTCATGGGAGCTCCCAAGGGGGGACTTGCCAAGCTCTTTTGTTTACAGCCCAGAATCTCCACACAAGTACTTTGGGAGGTTGCAGGAAGGCTTTAGCGTTCCACAGTGTCTTGATTGTCACCCCTCTCCCAGTGTCCCCTTTGCCATGAGCCTCCTGTGAGACCTGTGCCCAGGCTGGCCAGTGATTGACTGATGAGCAGATGCAGAAGACTGGAGACAAAGGCTCCAATCTTTGCTCGCCACATTTTCCTCAGGGCCTGATGTGTGTGCTGAGCTGGACAGCAGGGACATTGGTGGGTGCACATGAGGATGACACCAGTGAGGACCTGCATGACATGATCAGAAAGGTTCTGGGCTAACGGACAAAGGTGTGCAGCTTCACACCACACCATCTTAATCTAGTAAAGGTCTGAGCCCTTCTGTAATGTGGAGACCTACGTGGGAATAGGAGGGGCAACAGCCAGGTGACCCACTGGTAAGAGTTAACTTCCTTCACCCTTCACAAAGGCCCAGGGGCAGGTGGGACGTGGATGCTGCCCACGTGGTACAGGGGAGGAAAGCTGCAGAGGAGCATCTGGGGGCTGAGCCAGGCCACCGTGGTGCTGGATGGCTTTGCCCACCTGCCATTGTTGCTGGGCCCACCCACCTTCTGACCACAGCTGTGCATGTGGGGGCCAACACCCTGTTAGTCAGGGACCTCACCCGGGTCCTGGGGCAGGAGTCAGATCTTAGAACCTAGAGAAGAAGGGGTTGGTCAAGCACCTGTGGGTCTTTGGAGCCTGGCCCCTTCCGGATCCTTCTTTCCTCACAGGCTTGTCTCCACTTAGTGGCACAGATGTGAGAACAGAGGCGGCAGTCCCCGGACACTTCCCAACAATACCACCTTTATTCACACTTATATACAACTCCCTTTACATACAATGCCCCCAACATACCTCCCCACCTAGGCCTCTCAAGACCCCCACGGTAACCCCCATCCAGGCCCCACCCCTCCCCAACTCCGCACACACTCTCCCCACCCTAACCTACCATCCTGCCTCCCCCACCCTTACCCATGGCTGAGCATCAGCTGGGTCAGTACTCGCTGGGGGGGCTTGGGCTCCGTGAGGCTACAGGATGCAGTGAGGGTCAAATCCAGTCCAGAGGGGCTGGCACTTGAGAGGCCGGCCCACAGCCCCTCTGGCTGCAGTGCTGCTGCTTCTTACTCCCAGATACCAGTGGGTCGCCCCTTCTCTTTTGAGGATGTGAAGATTGAGCCAGCCCCAGAGCCGGGACAGGGCTCAGGGACAGCCCCCAGGGCAGCAGGCTGTGCTGCTAGGTCAGGAGGAAGCCCAGGCTGGGGAGGTCCTCCTCCTCCTCACTGGAGCCGACTGCTGGGCCCCACTCAGGCATGACAGGACAGGCTCCCCTGTGACCAGGCGAGGAGGGTCTGTGGCCCTGGGGTGGGGAGCTGGGCCGGGTGGCCCTCGGCATGGGCTACTCCTGACAGCCAGGCCAGAGGTTACGCTCCTTGTGCCTGGGCAGGTTGGTGTTGGCTCTGCTGCGCCATGGAGGGTCCTGGGAAGCCAGCTGTGCTGGGCAGCTTTCTACACTGACCCGTACTTGGGGGCCATGGTCATTTCTCTCTGCTCCTTGGCCAGCTGCAGTCTTAGGACTTGAGTCCAGTTGGGGTGTGCCATGACCTGTGGCGGCCGCACACCTCCTGCATCATTCAGGACCAGGAGGTGCTTCTCCACCGACTGGGGGGAGCAAAGCGACCCTCACTGGCTCTTCCCCAGGTGTGGGGAGGGGCTGGCAGGGTGGTGGAGACCCTGAATTTGGGCAGGAGGTGGGAAGGTAAGAGGACACTTGGCTTGGTATCAGAGCCAGGGACTATGGCTGTGCCGTGCCCTGCTGGGCCTCCTTCCAGCTTCGCCCCCTGCCCTCTCTCCCTGGCTCTGTCCTCTCCTTCCTGCTCTTCTGCACCTGCTCCTCCCACCCCGGGCAGCTCCCCTCAGGATGCCACGCACCCCCAGCAGGGTGACAGTAGACAAAATCACGTGGGCTTCAAGGGCAGGGGTCACCTTTTTCTCTGGTCTATCTGGTGTCCTTCCCTTTCCTGGGTGATCTGGTGTCCCTTTCTCCCCTGGGTGATTTGGTGTCCTTCCCTCCCCAGGTGACCTGGTGTCCTTCCCTTTCCTGGGTGATCTGGTGTCCCTTTCTCCCCTGGGTGATTTGGTGTCCTTCCCTCCCCAGGTGACCTGGTGTCCTTCCCTCTCCTGGGTGTCCCTGACTCTCTTGTGTTACCTGTGCTAGGATGAGTCCTTCTTCCTGCTCCAGCTTCTGTGTTAGAGACAATGGATCCAATTTGGGGTCTGGGGAAAGCAAATCTGCCAGGAATTGGGGGTGGATGGTGGCCTCCACCTGGAGCAGGAGGAAAGGAGCGTGAGTGTTTTTGGCAGGGAGTGAACTACAGCCAGGGGGACCTGAAGGAGAAGCAGAAGGCAGTGCCTGTCTCTTTCCTGTCCACACAGCAGGGTTGTTTTAACTCATGGCCACCAGCAGCTACACACACATACACACACACACTGCTCAGTAGCTGAGGAAGAATACAGCTGAATTCGAAGGGTCTGGGACTGCCATTCCTCACCCTCCCCACACCACGGCTCCAGGCCAGCCCACCTTGGCAGTGAAGTCTTCCTGGGAGCACAGCTTATCAGTGTAGCTCAGGAGACCTGGGTCTGGGTAAAGCCCGTCCTCCTCCTGCGTCTGCCCCAGATCACTCTCCTCCTGATTTGCATCAGGCCCCAGCAGTGCCTCCATGATGTCCACACACTCCTGGTCAGCTTCTGGCAGGATCTCCTTAGGCGCCTTGGCCTGGGGTGGCTGCTGGGGTCTGAATGGTGGCAGGCGAGTGTATGGTGCCCTGTGGCCAGCCTTCCTGGGAGCACACCCTAGGACAGGAGGGAGGACAGGTGCATGGCTGGGCCGCAGCGGCCACTTCCATCCACACTGAGGAAGGGCAGGACTGGGGGACATGAAATGGGTCCAGGCTGGACCTCAGGCTCCGTGGGAGGATACGCTACAGGAGGTGGGTCATCTGAGACCGAGTTACCTGGGAAGACTTTGGAGCCACTGAGATTCTGGGTCCTCTCCCTACCCACCTCCACTTCCTGGAAAGACTGTATGTTGGGTCCTATACATGGGAGGCAAAGACCAGCTATGAAACTACTGGACCAGACCAATACCTAGTTCCTGACTCAGGACAGTGGAACCCCAGGCTCTCGCTGGCTGCACTCTCTGAAAGAGCAAGTGCCCTCCATTGTCGGAAAAGGACAGGGTGAGGGAATAAGCCTCCTCTGACCCCCTTATGCCTTTGCCATAGGCTCCTGTGGGAATATGGTTGCCGTACCTGGCTGTGGCACAATGTTGGGGGCTGGTGGCCCTGGAGGAGCAAGCTTCAGTGGGGCTGGAGGAGGCAGGCCATGGGGCCCCTTCATGCACTGCAGCTTCTGGAGCTGCATCTCCTCCTCAGCCTCAAACTCCATGAACCTGGCGGGGAGACGGAGAGCCATAGCCATGCTGAGAGGGAGGCCTGGCCAGGGATGGGGGAGGAAGTGCTTTGGGTGGGCTGCACCCATCCCAGGGGGAGCTACTCCCAGGGCAGAAGCACAGTTGCAGGGATACACTAGCTCACCTACGCCTGCACGGCAGACAGCAGCCAGGGGGGCTTCCTGAATCAAGGCCTACGTGACCCAGGCATGGCCCTCAGGGGACCCTGCTCCTGTCCCTGCCCAGGGCCACGCAGAAGCACTGACAGGCAGAAGCTGGGTCAGGGATTTGACTGATCACGTGTGACATCAGGAACGCTTGCCCAGATCCAGAAATCCTGCATTGGTACTGTGAGCCCCTTACAATAGCCTGGGAGAGAAGGGCCCAGGAGATGTGGGAGGAAGTGGGAGCTAAGCTGAGAGGAGAGGGTGTATTTTCTCTGAAGGTGGTTCGTGTTAATGGAGTAGATTGTCATGCAGCAAAGACAGGGAGGCCAGAGACGTGTCCTAGGTGTGTGAGATGCTGGCTTCCCCTGCCCAAGCTCTTCTACTCCAGTCCATTCTGGGATAACAGGTGACCCATTTCTGGCCACTTTTCTTCAGGAGGGGTTGTCCCAATTTTGTCACTGGTCACAAAGTACACTTCTGCAGGGTTCCCACCACTGGAGCCGATCCCCACTTGAATGTGCTGGTTACTCTTCCCCGCCCTTATTTCAGCGTCAGGGCAGGGGTAGACCTGAGGTCAGGGCAGGGCAGAGCTTCCAGGGTGAGTAGGAGAGAGAAGCCCGAGCACCCAGGTGGATGGAGAGCTTCCCTGGGTTGTTAGGGCCCCATGGAGGGGCTGGATCTAGTGGATCCCCCTCCTCATGGCATCCCTGCTGACCAGCCTACCACACCAGCCCAGCCCCTGTCACCCACCCTCAGCCCACCCCACAGCCCCTCAGGCCCAGCATCCCTGACTCACTTTGCTGCCATGTTGTAATAGATCATGCGGTCATAGTTGCTTGTGCCCTGCCATTCCTGCCTGGCCCGCCGCACTCCCTCCTCCAGGCTCATGGTGGGCTTCAGCCGGGCCAGGGATCGAAGCACTGGGCTGTAAGCCCTCAGGGTCAGTCACAGTGCACTTGCCCACCTTCCGTCCCAG